TCATCTTAGATGTGATATTCTTAACTTCCAATTGAAAACTGTTGATCTTATAGGTATGATAGTAACCAGAATCCCAGCCTGATGCAGCTTAATGATGAGCACATTGTAATGGTTTTATTAAGACCTTTTGGTGTACCTTAGGTTTTAAAGGCAAGATACGCTAATTGTAGGTGCCAAGATCTTAGATGGGATTACTGTTTTTCACATTTTTCAACCTGGATAAATAAAAACAATTTAAGAATTCATTCATTAAGCATATCAAATATACTCTGAAGGACTGTGAAAGACTAGATATAGTTTAGGATAGGTATCAACCAGATAGTTTGAAAGAAAGTGTATCATGTTTTTGTGTATGGTATATATGAATCAAATTCTTTACAGTAGGTGTCTGTGATTTGTTGGCAGTAAATTTCAACACAAACAACACACAGTACACTTGTTTTAAAATAATATATTTAAAAAAATCATATGTATTTCCAATGTTCCTTAAACAGTTAATTACCACAGTTGTATCCAGAGCATTAAGTAATTGTCTCTTTTTGTCAAAGTCCACACAGGCTGGTTCAGTTACTTGAGAATGCAATTGACAAGATAAATTATCTTTCTCTGCTCTGTTATTACAATACATTTGGTGATAATTTCACATAAGTTACACTGTTGATCACCACAGTTGTATCCAGAGCTTTAAATAATTCTCTTTTACATCAAAGTCTACACAGGTTTGTTCAGTTACTTAAGAACACAATTGACAAGACAAATTATTCTCTCTACTGTGTTATTGCAATACAATCTGTGATAATTTCACTTTAAAAATTACCACTGTATGCTTTTTAAGGCTAAACTCACAATCATGCAGTCTAGATCTATCTAACTAACTTTTTTAACTTCATTTTGGGTGCATATTTATAGCCTGATTGAGGCCCAGAATGTTCCACACTATGAGATATTATTATGTAATAATATTCAATCAAAACAACAAAAAATACTTAGAAGGTTCTAGTAATATGATGAAATAAAATTTCAAGCACCAATTCACCACAATTGGACTATAAAACTTATGAATCGTACACAGTTACATTAAATATACCTGTGGTAAATTGTTGCTTCTAAAGGTAACTAAATTTAACACTCCTATGTAACTTAGATTCAGACAGTTTTATATATCTAACAAAGTGCTAACCTGAAGCATGGTAAAGGTGTGAGATGAAAGGTAATGGCTAATGGTGCATTACCCAAATATTTTAGAGTTTCTTTGTGTAGGTGAAAGTAGGAAAGAACTTTCTCTCATTGTCAAAACAATTGATTGACTCCTACAAAGGAAGCAGAGAACTGTATTCCACCATTGGTAAGGTCACTGTGTGTACTTCTAAAAGAGAAGATGTGATTGGATCTAATGGAGCTGTGGATTGCATTTGGATCTGGAAAAAAAACTTAAGCTACATAGCACTCCATGGGGTTGCTGGCATTCTTGGTCCAGCAAAGGCTCAATACCTATGTGTATTATTTTTTCAGGTTGTGATTAAGTGTCTTCTTTCAATAGACAGGGTAAGAAAACAACATGGAAAGTGTGGAATTGCTTCCCAGACATAACTACAGCTTTTACTGAACTACTGACTGAACCAGAAGAAATGAGTGATGACATTTGCTTTTTCCTGTGTTAATGATATAGAAAGCGCTTTGTATATGGTGTAACACCAGCTCAAGTCCTTCCCTCTCACAAAAGTTGCTGTTTTGCAACATTTGAAACAAGTGCATGTCATTGAGGTTGATACCTTAACCAAAAATATCCAGTCCAAATGACTGAGGATGGTCATAAACCACAAAATAGTTGGAAACTTTTCTGGACAACATTGTCTGAAGCATTCAAGGCTTGTTAATAGCTCCTTAATTGTGACCTTTTTAAGAATTCTGCTACACAAATATGCAGGTGAACAAAAGCTTATGTGCAAGTTTATGGGAATTCACCAGTGTATGTGATTCAAGATATCCCAGCATTCATGCTGTATTACATGTGCTTCACACATTTCACCTTGAAACTTAATTAGAAGTCACTGTATCAGTAGAACAACTTTGCCATGTAAATTGAGATTAGCTGCATTCCCTTATGTAAATGCAAGTTTAACCAAATAGATTTGTGTATCGATTTATACTAAATATCTACATGTATTTTGGTTAGATTGTTATCAATACAATTAAAATTTTGTTCAAACAGAAGGTTGAATCAGAAGTCTAGATAGTACATGGACTGAAAGCTCCAACAAAACCAACCTTGTTGTAACAATAGAGCAAGGTGACTTACATCTGGTTTTACTGTGTGCATTACACACTTCCAGTTGCTAATAAGAATGAAGATCAACATTGACAGAGAGATCTAGATAGTACAGTAAGTTAGATCTCTGATGGATAATGTCTTTAAGAAAGGCATATATACTTTTTGTTTGCATGCAAAACCATTTTCCTTACCTATTGTTTCATAAAATAGTTAATTGTTATTTTTCTTGTAGAAATAATGCTTTTAGTACTATATATAAAGTGATAGAAATTCTGTGGGAAGATTTTTCAAGCTTCAGTTTTCTGTCCACTTGGAACTGCAAAATAGTTAACATTGTAATGTAAAGATTGCTTATGACTATATTTACTTGTTATTCCATTATTTTATTTTAATTAATGATATCACCATTTTGTTGAGTGCCTGAAAGGTTATGAGGTTTTATATATATATATATATATATATATATATATATATATATACAAGTGAGACTTACTCTACAAATGACAAAGGCTTACATTGATAATATGTTTAAAAGTAACAAGTACAAACAATGTACACTGCAAGGTAACAACAGTTAAAAAATTTTTATCACAAGTGAAAGTAATAAAAATTATAAAATGCTGCTTAGTATATAGCACATTTAAATTTAATTATCAGGATCATCAAATATGATCACATTTTAAGTTTTTAGCTACTATGGTACAAGACAGTATATTATACCTTCAGAAGTACAATAGTTTTATGTGTACAAGTGTATGTCTAGGGTCCAATTCATTTATAAGCAGTTGATGGTGGTATTACAATAAAACATTCAGTTGTTGTTGTTGAAATTTCAGAGGTGAACTAGCCTACCCAGTAAGTACTACTGACACTGCTGCCTTTTTGAAGCCGTGGCATTGGTGTCCTGTTAGAATTGATAAACATGAAATATTCAAGTTAGATTTAAATTTATTCAATTGAAATAAATGATTGATGAGATTAAGAGGGGTGCCAGCTATGGTTAGTGGACTAACACATAATCATAACTAGTAACCTATAAGGCCAGTCATATATGGAACATGGTTTGTAGGTACTGGTTATTCTGTTATGCCTCATGTGTTGCCAGTCCACCCCTGTTCTCTTTGCTTATTTTGTGATGACAAATTGCTTTGATAAACTAGATAAATAATGCATATTAAATTAATAAGTCCCAAAGGATAAGATGGAAGGTATTCCTTACAATATATAAACAAAATGCCTTGAGCAAATAGTGTCTTTGGGTTGAAACCATTATCAAGGTGATTGATTTTGTTAATCAGTTCATCTCTCCATTTGTCCTTTTTTTTACTTCAGAAGCAAATAATGGAAGGAGAGCTCTCTGTTCTTTGATTTGCATATAGGACATTTGATAATTGCATAATTACTACCAGGCATTTTGCAAGAAAAAGCAGATAGATAACTAAAATTATTCAACTTACAATGCTATTGATACTGAGTGTATATAGTGAGGTAAAAACTAAATAAAATATTAAATGACTTTCAAACCACCATGTCAATCACCTGAAGATGCCAGATCAACTTGGTGAAATGCTGTCCATTTATATACTTCGTATTTCCAATGCACTCAAAGTTTTTCTTCTAAGTTGTTAGTTTATAACACCATTATTATCAGCTTATCAGAAATGTCCTGTACACATATCATGTGATCATTATTGTACTATATAGATTTCTAATGAAATACAGAAACGCTACAATAAGTGTGATTTAAACTTGTATTTTTAAAGCACTACAACAAATTCTATTTAGAACAGTGTATATAATGTTCCACACTGTATATACCCATCCTTGACAATTTCTTATCTTTCAAGGGAGGTTGTGTGTCTTTGATCATTTAAGTAAACTAAAACAACAATACATAACTCAAATGTTTTATCAGAAAATGTTCAATATATTATGCAAGATATACAAATAGTATTATTTTTGGCTACAATAAGGGGGGAGGGGGTTACATTGGGCCATATCTGAAAATGTTCTAACTGAATGTACTAACCTTTATGCTTTTACTACTTTTTGCATAGTTCTTCTAGACCAGGAACTAAATCACTGAATAATGAGCATTCCATTGTGATTTTAGCTATGTGTCTGTCTAAAAATCTGTCATTCCAAGTCTTTTTTTCAAGTGTTCAAGATCATCAGGGGTAAAATGGAAAAAACAAATAGTACGTGGGAGG